CTGTCAGTAATGGCTGTATTTCAAAGAAATTTGGTTTCCTCCTTCTGTCTGCACTGCTGATGAGCAACTCTCCCTTCAAATATCCAGGCCTGGAAACAAGCGTGGTATGACCGAAAATCCAAAATCATACAAGCGCTTCCAGAGTTTGGTGGAGTTGTAGAAATAACTTACACAGAAACACTACGACCAAGAATATTGGAATGGTTTCTGAAGCACTGGATATAATTTGAAAGGGCAATTAAAAAGAAAACTTCCATTACATCTCTTATTTACGTAAGCCATTACCTCATCTAAACTGAATGCCTTTTTTTTTTTTAAATAAGTAATGACAAGTTACTTAAATATCCTTGCTTTACCTATCTGTTAATCTAAAGAGTTTCACACGTAGAAACAGGATCTCAGTTGTTTCTGTGGAACCTTCTCTTCTCTATGACAAACATAGAAAGCTATGTAGCAGTGGCTGATAAAACATTGATTCCATGAAAATACTTAATGAAATATTACTGCATGAAGCTACCAGGATTTTTTTTCCTCCACTGCAGGTTGCAAGGGCTGCCAAGAGAGAATACAGACATCCTGACAACTTTTCCCAAGTTGTGAGATGTGCTACACCCTAGAAGTTTGGGAAGCAGCAAGCATATCACGAACATCAGAATGATTTGAACTACATTAGAGAGGGAAGAGAAGGAAACATTATCAAGAGCTCACTTGAGAAGGGTTCAGGAAACAAAAAAATCACTGCACTGACAAGAGGAACCTTGTAGTTCAAGTTTGTCTCCACCAAGCTTCTACCTCAATTTTTTTTTTAAGAGGAAAGAAAAATTTCATTTTCTGCATAGAAATATCTATCAAATTCTAATTTTTAACTTCTGCTACAGCATTTTTTACTTGGAGAATTCTAATTATTAGCCAGATAAGACTAAAAATTGACTCTCTTGTTCTGGAGATGAGTATTATGTAAGGTACTCTTTCTTACAGAAGCAATGGCAGAAAATGTAAAAATTCTTTGTTGACATTCAAATAAACCAGTGCTACTATATAAGCTTCTCAGTGTAACTGGTATATGACAAGTACTGCATTCCACAACAAACTACTGCCCATAAAGTATTTTGCCAAAGCTATTTTGTTTTCCCAAGGAAATGAGGACTGTCAGTCCATCTGCCTGTCTGCTCATCTGCCTTCCAACTGTCTATTGGTGCTTGTGATGCCATGGAAACAGCCAAAGTTCTATATAATCTCTGTAAAGAGTGGGGTGAAAAAAAAAATTCCTACCTTGAAGAACATTTATTTGCTTGTTAGATTCTTCAGCTTGCACTCGATATGCTTTTCTCTCTTCTTCCAATAGTGCTATAAATGAAAGTGAAAATGTGCCCAGAATTTTATAAGTATTTCAGCTGTAACTAATTTTATTCACAACTTCCCTTTAACCGAAATGATTAGAACAATCATATTACTTCAGTAAGTTATCAGAGCTAGTAACAGTGTAAGTAGTAAATAATATATTAATAAAAAGTTAATATTAAGACATCACTCCGTTATTGTGGTAGTATTACAATTAATTTGAAATTAATACGAACTGCTGCCTGATCCAAAACTGTATGTGTGCTAAACACACATTGGAGTGGAAGGAGAAAAAGAAATATCTGTGAATATATCCTTATGCAGAACAGTGAATAATATGCAACTGTTAATGTTAACAGGCTATACTGTTTCCTGTCAAAACCAATCCACAGTTCTGCCAAGGACAATGGCACAGCTACATATCTTATAGGATGATCTAAACAAAGAACTACCACTGAATACACTATGTGCATTATCTGGCTGAAACACAGATTAATCAAAGGCTGTAGAAGAATATATTTTATAAGGATGAAATATATGCAGTTCAAGTATGTATTCAATACTATGAAAAGATGTTGGTTTATCTTGAACCAGAAAGTCAGAGCTCAGTTGGACTGTATATAAGAGTTTAGAAAGAAAGCAAAAGCTTCTGACATAGCGTGCAGGAGATGTGAATGCTATGAAATAAACTTACCTAACACAGCAAAATTGGACCCCCTTTTAAGACTACCTGAAAAATACTATTTGAATGGATACCCTAACACAACCAACATGATCTGGGTCTCACCTTGAAGTTCAGAGCATTTTTGTTTACTTGTCCTAGCTAGCTCTTGGGCTTCAATCAGCTCCTTGTGCAGTTGCTGAATTTCTTGTTTAGCCTCAGTCTCTGATTGTGCACCCTGCAATTCATCTGATAAAAGAACATTTTCTTTAATTCATAAATTTGTACAACAGCTCATTTTGCACTGCCATGTCATGACTGGTGACTTTTTATTCAAATCATCTGAAGTTAAAGTAAACTCAAAATTGGGTTAGGTAAATATTAGCAAAAATATTAATATACTTTTAAAAGGAGGAAAACATATGCAAACTTTAAAACATTATATATTACATGCAGTATAAAACAAACAAACACAAAAAACCCACGAGTTTTTAAAAACACTATAAATTGGCAAGGATTCCTGGACTGATAAAAACAAAGGAATAGCAAGCATAAAACAGACTGCTTTTACAACCTGTCTGTTTTTACAAGGAAGCTACTCTAACCCTCTTCTCCTAGCAGACACTCATCAGCAACGATCCTGTGCCCCGTCTCCCACGGCCCTGCTCCCAGGAGCACGCAGCAGCCCCGGCAGGCAGCACAGCAGCACGCATACAGACCCAGCCTTGCACTGAGCCTGGCTAATGCCAGTCAGCCCCAGGAGGTTATGCAAAGGGTTGCTATGAAGCAGTTTGCTACTGCCCGTCGACAGGGCTTGGCTTCCCCTCTCCTGCTGGGGACCTTAACTACAAGGGAAGAACAAATTTAGGGAAATTTTCTAAGACAAAATGAAGGAAATCAAGAAAAGCCCTCCCTCCTTACTTCATTCAGTGGCCCACTGAATACTAATCTTAATTTTGCCCTTAAAATTTTTCCTCACTACCTTAAAGTATTAGGTGTATCTTTAACATGATCAGATATCTACGAATATTAATTAAACTCTAAATAAAAACATCTGCTCTTCATCACAAGTTTTGTGCCAGCTAAAATGCATATTAAATACTTCTCAGGTTTATAAGAGATGACTTGCAGTGACAGACAAATTAAATGCTTTTAAAGCTGAAGTTTTGGAGGAATTTAAGAGGAAAATAACAGCAGTGTCCTCTATTGGGCAAACACTTGAAACTAGATGCAGTAACAAAGAGGAAGGCAACTCTCTCCTGCAGGCATCCGCACTGCCAGGAACTGGATCCAGGAAACTCTCATTCACTCGCTTTTCCTTATGTGGAGTCTGTGCAGAAACAGATCTTTCAACAGGCACAAACAGCAACAATAAAGTGTATAGAGGGCTGAAACTTTACATAAAGCCTGTTTGGTGAGAAAGGCAGAGGAGGGAGATCAGTGAAAAGAGCCTATCTGTGCATCCTGGGAGTGGGAGAACAAAGAGGTAGGTATCTTGCACAGCTAACCAGTTAATAAACACCTACCGCCTTAGATCTGACGGGTATGAGATAAAGGCACCCTGCTTAGTATAACACCCCCAAAAGAGAAATTACTCTGTATGTAATAGGCCTTTCACTAATAAGAAAAAAATAAACACAGGCTATAATTCAGATTGTCATTACACTTTTGACATTCATATTTGACTGCATATGTCACTAACTATAACAATTCTTTTACTGTTTTCTTAATTAAAAATTGTTTATAGAATCATTCTGAAGTATTCATACTGTAACCCTCTTAGAAAAGAGGCTATGTTTTTCCTCTTCTCACAATAACGAACTGATGGGACCAAGCAGAGCTGAGGGCACACATGTGCTTTTAGACTTTCAGAACAAAATTATGAGAGCAGAAAGAACAGAGAGGACTACATATTTCATCCAAAGACTTTCTTTTATAGTTTATTAGAGTTCCAAATCCAAATTTTCCTTTATTGAATATGTTTTGTTCTTAGCTTCTCATGGATAAAGACTTGGGGCAATTAGACTTTCAACCCTCCCCTAATGAGACTGTTCAGAAGAAATGGATGAGGAAGTTGACAAATTATGCTAAAATCATGCCCAATAAAAAGCAGTGTCCCAAATCCAACAATAGACACCCCAAATGAACTTTCTAGTGGACAAAATTTTCCAATCAATGAAAGCACACATCATAAGAGATAATACTGCTTTCAAAGGAGATGAGGAATTGAACTTATAGGACACTGTAATCAGTTAAGCAAAGGCACAATCAAGGTAAACACTTTTATATTCTAATGCAACAGGGGAATGTCCATATGCCTGACATACTTCTAAATAAAAAGGTAAGAAATATAAGTGCAAGAAAACAATGACTTTTCAGTCTCGCCCAAACTGAAGATGTCTTTAACGTCTTTCAGTTCAAAGCAAACGTTTTTGCACTAACTCTAGCTTTGAAAAAAATCCCTTAGTGAGTAGGATTGCTCTATTTTTAAATAGTAAAACTACTAAATATCATCAGGCTTAGAAACAGTTCACTCAAGAAACAAATTCACATCACAAAAACCTGGTTTGAGAATAATTTTTAAAGACTGCAATTATAAAAAAATTGAGCAATTTCCAGAAGTACTCAGCATTGGACTAACTGTTCTCAGAGAAGTATAAAGAATTTTACCATTAATTACAACAAAGTCCCAGAAAAAGTCAAAGACAACAGTTTGAAAACACTCATTTATTCCAGCTCATGGAAAATTTTAATCTGTCATCAGATTGTTTGCATTGTTACAAGAAATATTAATTAACATCACTTTGTTTCCCACACACATACACTGATGTTTCCCTTAGCATCAACTCTACTGATAGATTTTAAATTGTTTAAAAAAAAAAATAACATGATCAGTAAAAATCATTTCTGATGCACACTAAAATTTCTTCTCCTTCAAACCAGCTTCAGAAATGGAAGCTAATCCATGGGTCAGTTTTGGGGAAAAAATGAACATTTCCAAATCATTATAGAATATAGTGTGTGAAGAAATATTTTGCAACTTTAGGATCTAGAAAATAAAATTTCAATAAAAGCAAAAGAAAAAAGCTCAGATTAAATGAATACTTACAAACATATAGCTCTGTTTGTATCCTTGTCTTTACACTTTTGTTTTGGTAATATAGATTATATATAAACACACATAGGATGTGGTCTTAATTTACCCCTTATCTGCATGTGCCCGGCCTGTGGAAGCAACTTTATGAGCAAGCTGGTATTTCTCCAAGTCACACAGTGGTTCACTTAAGAGAATTTTGCAGGATTTCTCAGGTTATTCAGATTACTATTTCCACACTTGGGTGAAGTTAGAAAAACAATTTTCTTCAGCTTTGTAGGAATCACATAAAGCAAACTGCATCGTATATTTAAAATAAAGTATCTGGCTACTGCAACATGTAACAACAGTTCCCAAGCTTTCTGAATCAACAGACCATCGCCGATTTTCAAAATTTCTTATGTAAACTACCAGTATCCAGCAAGCACTCAATAGAAAACATTTTTTATTAAGATTTCATGGATCAGTCTTGTAGTTACTATGAAAATATAAGGTAGCTGATAAGAACAAGATTACTAACCTTCCCATGACATTTATTACTTCTTTCCATCTGTTTAACATTTACCCGTTTTTAATATTGCAATAAGTAGTCACAAACATCTTGTCTAAACAGAAGTCTCCAAGAAACTGTTGTTAATGGCTAATAAAGTCGCTTACCTCTTGGGGGGGGGAAAAAAAAAAAAAAAACAGTTCCACTAAACTGACAGCTTTTCCCCAAGCTTTCTACAAGATCCTGACTTGTAGAAAGTTGAAAAACAATCCTCACTGCACTCAAAATTTATTGATGGAAAACAAACTTGGAGGAAACAACAGCAATTTAAAGTCTCATATTCTTCTTGTTCCATTATTTTGTTTTCTAAGTTCGAACAGTTAAACAAAAAGGAATGTTGCCTTTTCCAGCAGGCATTTCCGCATGCCGAACAACTGCCAGAACAGAAATGTTCTCACTCTTCCTTAATTATATGACTGCATAACAAATCCACTTGAAAGTCTTTCTGTGGCAAATAAAATCCTTTTTAGGGAAAAGTCAGGCATATGAAGTAGCTCTCTAACAAAACCTCAAACAAAACTGTGGGTTTATAGGCTTTTCAAACTATGAGGGCAAATGATTCACTGTGCAGATATTTTCTAATGCTTTCATGAAAGCAAAATAGGAATGCCCATAAATAGCCTCAAGAAAAGAAGAGTTATTCCAATTATTTTAGTTAATTGCAATATGCAATTCAAAAGCAAAGCTGTCTATGCAGATAGGTATTTTTCTACTTATTCACTTAAAAATTTCAGTAATGGTAATGGGCTTAAATCTTCAATTGAGTAAAGCCAGATGAAGCAACAAAAACCTTCATATTAGCAAAAGACTGTTTCCATGTTACTACAGAAAACTTCATTTTAGTCCTTTGAAGAGTTTAATTAACCCTCCCTGCCAGTTTAATATACCCTGGACAGAAGAAGCATAACTATACCTGACCCTTGCTGTGACCTGAGGCTGTTCTAATCCAGGAGGCAGCGTGCTCACAGCAGCCCTAGCCTGGTCTTGGGCTGTTCAACAAACCTTTCTGACAGAACTTGGAAGACTTCACTCGCACATAAGGTGAATTCACGAATCAGTGGTTTTCAGCCCAAGGGGTTCCCAGACTACTTCTAATGTGTCTGCAGAAGATAACTAAGAAATCCAGCCAGTTAAAAGCAGTTGTCAGCTGGCTATCTTAAAAATTTAAGAACCAGAATTAAAATAATTTTGAGACTAGCTGAATTCAGTTTGTCTACTGTACACATCTGAAGGGTTGTTTCAGCTCTGAATTATACACATGTGAAAACACTCAGAGGAAACAAACTCCTTAATGTGTATCCCATTCTGAACTTAAAAGTTCTGATACTTAATGAAGATCGTGCTTATCAAATGTAACTTTTTTCCAAGTAAAACTTCTTGCCAACCCCAATTTTTTTGCCAAAAATAAGACAATCGTCATTGCTATGAACAGCATTACCAGATTCTACCTTCTAACACAGGAAGTCACTGAATTATAATTGTTATTAATTGCACACATTAGAGCAAAACCCAAATGGGACCTGCTTAGTATCTCAGCACTCCTTCCAACTGCTTTGCTGAACCAACACACCTAATATGCACTGGAAAATATCAAACTCAATTTTATTTTTGCTGTTTGGAAACATACATAATACATGAAATTTCTGGAAGTCCTACTGTCATAAAATTAAAGAGGTGTAAACAATTACAAAAAAAAAAGCTCTTTTAAAGGTCTCCTAAATTTCATTATGGTTACCTGTCTTTCTGAATCACAAAGAACTGTAACATTCTTTTTAGTCATGGTCTCAATGTAAGCATGTCTACAGATCTTAACAAATGTCTAATTGTACATAGAGCATAAAACTAATTTTTCAGTATGCTAAATGTAACAGCTAATTAATATCCCACAAAATTTTTCATCTCACTAATACGTATATACTACCTTGCTAATCAAGTTTAAAGTATATGACTTCAGTACAAAGAGTAGTAAAAAAAAAAAAAAAAAAATTAATTTTATAGCTATGAAGCTCCGAGCTAAGAGTCAGCAATCATTCTAAATACAGTTACAACAGGAAATTCAAATCTTGCGTTAACCAAAAAAAGATTTTATATTTTGTTTTTAATGCATCAGGTGCAAGCTACCTGTGAAGCATTTCTCACCGTGATGGAATCTATACAAGTATAACTTGGCAGTGCTTAAAACGCATCAGTGATGGAAGAATCCCTCCTCCACACAGCTATTAGCCCTAGCTTAAGTGCATGCTGAAACTATTTCTCAACTCCACTTGAAGTTACAACATGTAAATTCCTAGAACAGTGTTGGGGAACACAGGAACGTTATACACAAATGATTTCTATAGTAACACTCAGAAGTATGCTTTCAGATCACATGACCTAAAGGAATCATTATTGATACTTAAATGCAATTCTTCCATACTGTTGTGACTAAATGATTAGAACTTCAACACTCTACTTCAATGTACATTTGACAGAAAACAGGTAGGCAAGAAGATATATACAGACTATGTATCTAAGGTTACAACAAGTAACTTGTTTACCTTTTAGAAGAGCTACTTTAGCAATAGGTTCATTTAGATCTTGGTCATCCATTTGGGCATCTAAAAAAGAAAAATCCCACACCTTTCAGAGACCAGGTAGACTGCAGATAGTTCTCATATACTTTAAGCAGAAAGCAGCTTTTACTTTCTACTCACTTTACAACAGTTCATTATGAAGTCGCAAAATCGGTAAAACTGCTTCTAAGCTTGTATCTGGCTGCATACAATAAACACTTCTGTTTTTGAAAATCCTCATGATTAAGTGATTTAACTCAAACTTATCAGATGTTAGAGAAGCTCAGTTAAATGCTTACCTGTAGTGTCGTCACTGCTTTTTTCCTTGCTTGGACTAAGAGTGTCCGATAAATCAGATTCTTTGACTCTTGCTTGATTCTCTGTAAGAGACAAGGAAGATCAGCTACAATCAAGAAATGCTTTGTTAAGTCTCTAAATCATAATTACTTCTAGACATACTTAATTACTGCCGAATGTCAAAAGAAAGAAACTTAGTTGAAGAAACACTGAAAAACCTATTCGTTGCTTATTTAAGTCTGGGCTAAAATGGATTTTAAATCACCGAAATCATTAACCCAGCCTATCATCTAATAAGGGATGCAGCTGCCTCATGCACAGCTTGAACTTTTGTTAAAGCTGTATTCTTGCCAGCTGGAACTCTGTGCAAAAGCTGATTCAATCAGGAAACAAATAAGAAAAGAACACTAGAACAATGCAGATACTGTACAAATCAGAAAGCAACTGCTGTTAAGAGTAAAACTGTGCTTCAGTATTTTCTTTTGCATTCAGTACTTGTATTTTTTGTACAAATAAAGTAATAGCAACAAGTCTTGTATATATACAGATTTTATATGTTTTTTAAAAATAACCATTCCAGTTTAGTACTGATGGGTCCTTTAAAGTCAGGCACATCATCTCTGGTGTAGGCAAACCCAGTAAGTCTGTCAGTGAGCAACCATCTCAGCAACGTGCAGGTAAGGTTACAGATAAAGAAGTCTTTCTTGGCTGACTATTCAGAGCCTTGATTTGACAGCATGGCTGCCCACCCACAGATTAATAGAGGTTTCCTCTGAGGTTCAAGCTCCAAGTAGATATATAAAAAATAAAATATAAAAAAGTGTTATTACAACATTCCCCTGTTATTCTACCATACATGCAGAAAAGCATGGTGAACACTACTAATTTCTTCACATGATGTAGATGAAACAAAAGTACTGGGACATGGGAAGAAGGATGCATAGCAATAAATCAAGTGTGTTATACCAACAGGGTTAGTATATGAAAAAAAAACCCGAAAGAGTAAGGAGAAAGCTTGTGTGCGTTGTTTTTTTCAAATAACAAGAGAACAAACAGAACACCTCCAAAATAAAAGAAGTGGAAACTGGAGACAACCTGTGCACCTACACAGGGAAATTAGCAAGATGACAAAACACAGGTTAATAAAAAAACCAGTTCTTTTCAGGTATCATGAAAAGTGTTCTATTTCTCCATGCCAGAATGACACCCACTTACACATGAAAGAAGGTGGCAAGTACAAACACAGCAGCTGATCAAGAGCCAGACTCTTCCTATCCTAACATAACTGAAATCACTGGAGATCAAGAAGGGGAAAGCACCCATACACTTAAAACATATTATGGGTTTGGACCTGGCATCTATTTGAAACATATTCCTCATGACTTCAGCAGACTTCAAAGCTCATAATAACTGGAGTAGTTAAAAACTTGATTTTTAGGCGTGGCTCCTTGCTAAAACAAAAAGGGTGCATGCCTATTTTTAGGAATGAGGTTTTTAACTAATATCTAAACATATGACATTACAAAGCATTTTACATGTATTGTACAGATTCAAGCTTACAAGATTGCCATTAAAACAGTAATATTTACAAATCAAGTAATACAATTTTTTTGAATCATTAAGAAAAGTATATCCTAAAAGCCTCACCCATGTCGTTCATATTAGTGGCCAGTCCACAAGCACTAAGCTGAGCAATATCTGCATCCAACTACCTTTACCATATCTGGTCACACACACAGCTTTCTCGCTCTGTGTGAAACAGGAGGCACCGTGCAAGTCCCGACTGGTGAATTAATTCCCTCTCTCCCCCTACCTCCCTCCCATTCTCCCCTCCCACCCACCCTTGGGTACACCAGATTCTTCATCCCTCCTGTCCTCCTCCCCCTGAAACAAGGAACAAGGTCAGGTGCCAAAGAAAGACACATCAGTGTTTACCTCTGAAACAGCAGAAGTCAAAAAGAAATTATTTGGAAACCTGTTTCCTATTCTGGTCATAAGCACAAAACTCTTTCCTCTACCATTTTTTTTTTCCCCACAAAAATTAACTTTATTTCCCATAATAAAACTGAAATGAATAAATATAGTCAAAGTGATGAAGTATATTAAAATGTGTTGACATCATACTTACTTGATGAGTTATAATACATTAACAGACCCTAAAAATAGCTCATCGCTTTGCAAGATAACTGGCATGTAAGTGTTACGTTACAGTTATTGTATGCATTCTTTTGCCAAATATGGCATGTTGTCTATAGCTTACTCACATACAGAAACAGCTTAAAGGTGCAATATCATACATTAATGTAAGAGAAGATAAATTTGAAAATCTCTAAAATACCTGAACTTTAATCAAACTAACATTTACCCAGTACAATAACACTCTGCAGAAGGACTGAGGGTAAGGAAATGAGTTAGTATGTCTAGACATTAGTAAAAAACTAAGAAAGTGGAGTCAGCCTGCAAGTCCAAACAATCTTACATTTAGACACTTAAGAAATACTGATCTACACACTTTGCAGCATTTTTGATTGTGGCACTGCAAGATAAGGATGACTGTTCTTTGGCAAGATAAATCTTTTCTAATTAGATCCTTGTATTTATATTTTTTATAAAATTTGTATAGAATTCCTGTATTCTACTTGTTTTATACAAAAGAGAAAAGATATATGCACAGATATATTTTATTTGGAAAAGGCATATTTAGGAAGTTAATAGTTAAAGTTATAAGGAGTTATGAGGGTGTAAGTTAGAAAAAAAGTCGAGTTGAAATACACTTTTCTTTAAAACTTAAAATGAGACCAAACATTTCTATTTAGTCCTATAATAAAACCAAAAACCTGTCTGAAATTTATGCAGGCATTAAAGATTAAAATCAACTCAGAAAGATTATTATATTATTATTTGGAGCAGAGTTCAGTTAAAAGTATACTTTTTATAAGACATTATTCAGCAAAACAGAAACTGCTGGTTTAAGACGGTACATGCACTGAAGTGACAGAAAAAAACATGCTTCAAAAACAGTTAAGTAATCCAGAAGTCTAACCTTTCAAAAGCTTTGTTTCTTCCACTTTGGTTAGATGTCCTTCATCTATGATCTTGTCTGCCAAACAAAATAAGTGTTACTTTCCGAGCTCAAATTAAGCAAGCTTTTCCCTGCATGCATCTACGTAGACTAAATTCCATGACCAAATTAAAAGCTGATAATATTACTTCCTACTCGGGCTTGAACAAAAACTTTATTCTGGGATGGAATAAAGAAACAGAGCACACAAGCCTACTGGAACTTTGTGATAAAGTGCATCATTATTTCTTCTGCAATTTATTAGTTTACATTATTAATGCTTCAGTTCACTAATGAGAAGTTAGGAAAATTAATTTTATGCACTTTTTAAAAAATCTAACTGGAACAATAAATGATTAATACATTTCTCAATACAATTAATATATTTACAGTTATCAAAGTAGGAATTCTAAGAGCTGGTTGCCTGAAACAGATAACCACTTGATACAGCAGAAATCTAGAAATACATCACAGTATAAAAGAAACTGAGGAGCCACCTCTACATCAGAGCTGCTTTAACAGCACCTATGAAGGGTACAGAGAAATACCCTTTCTTAGTCTAAAACTTTCAGAGAGATGTACAAATCAAGAAAAAAAAACAACAACTGTGCATATATCATATCCATGTTCAGAAAAAGTAAGTTTACATATAGCATTGACAGAGCAGTCTATTTATATATGCGAGGTGCATATAAAACTGAACCATAGAATATGAGATTAGATTAGACTTTTCCGAACTCCAGCTAGGACATAAAGGCAAACAGTAAAACCAAGTGACGAACAGGTCTGGATTCATTAAGGACACTAAAAGGACTACTGAACCATTAATTTATGAAATTCTTTTTTTGAGGGGATTTCATTACTTCAAGTTCCTTAAGAGTTATCTAGTGATGCCAACGTGTAAAATCATCGAGGGCCACATATCTTAGAGATCATATAATCAATTTCTATGCAGTAGATCTTGTGATTTAGACCATATTGAAAGCTGTAAGCACTCACTGAAACCCCAGGCTTGAAGCTGCTGCTGCTGCTCTGTGCTCTCCCTGCCAGATCCCTGACAATCAGGCAGGGGACTAAGTTTCCCGGTTACCCCATGTGCTACTAAGAGGCAACTGAGACACAGAAGACTCGAACAACATGTACAGGAGAGTTCAGATTAAGGAAGCTGGATGACAGTAAATCCTTTTCAAATTTTTCATTAAAAAATAGAAGTGAGCTTTAGTCAGCATTTCCAGCTTCAACAGCTGTGAAGATTTAGAAGTCTCTGTACTCCTCTGATAGCATATTGCTGCAACTGTGACAATCTAGGGACAGAGGAGGGACAAGATTTGCAAGGAGATCTCTTTTTCAACCCTAATTAATAGACAAGCTTTTAGACAAGAAAACTCTGATGTCTGAAGAAGTTTGCATGGCCAAAAGCTTGTTCTGTCCCTTTCCCTTCCCCACAGCCAGACCTAAAAGACAAAAAAAAAAAAAAAAATAAATCTAAAAGAGATGTTCCTTCCATCTACTTCTATCAACGAACATTGTTATTCATTCTTACTACACTTGACAAATACTGCTTCAGAAATATACTGAACAGCACACTGGGTTTTCAGGATTGGCTTCAGGTGTCAAGCAACTGTAGGAGATCACTCATCATCCAAGTTTCAAACAGCCTCTAGTTTGTCAGAGCTGGAGACAGTCTCTGTGCCTAGACTGAGGAAGGCGCACCGTGGAGGGAATCATATTACTGAAGCCACAAGCGAGGAATTACTAAGTGGTATCATGAGCCCTCTCTAGTTACAGAAAAACAACAGCAGCAAACAAAACAAAAACCTACAAAAACCCCATCCCAAATCTAAACAAAAGTCTTCATATGTGATTATTCCAAGAATCAGGTGAGGCTGAAAGTGGAGTAGGGAGGAAGGCAGCAAGAAAGCAGCTGACGAATCCTGCCTGTATGTCTGTAAAAACTACCTGAATGCAAAACCCATACATTGAAAAAATAGCTATCAACTACTTGATCTGAAGGATCAGAGCACCTCATCTATGCTGGACTGTTAGCTTAAATAGGTTTCTATAATCTGTTTATAAAAGAAAACTTAGCATTATAAATTGATTGATACTGGAGTTTTCACAAGTCAGTAACTGTTAAAACCAGAATAATCATAGTACAAAACAAACTAGTCTTCTTGACCCAGGTGTTTTTCCAAAGTGAAATCTTTGCACTTTTAAAAATTCTCAATTCCTATGACTAAAGAAATCTGCAGCCTTAATATTTATTTTTCTTTTCCACAGTGGCTTACTGTTTTCTAATGCTCATTATGAATTTCAACAGTGAAAGATAGGAAGCTAGCTGGGTACCAAATCTCTCCTTCACCTATACATCATCACCATTTCTGGTAATAACTCATGCTGTGTAGTAATGAAAGAGAAACACCATGACTTTTTACTGCCTATATCACTGGTTCACCAGTGGTTACTAAAAAAGAAAAAGTTATGAAATGAGCAATAAGTGAACTTGATGTAATGATCAGAAAGTAACAGAGTTCCCAAATCATTCAGAGCAAGATTTTATAACATTCTGCAGATGATATGGATCTGGATAGGTTACTGAATGATATTGCCAGCCATATTCTGCTAAAAAAAGAAAAATAAATATGTCTTCTAAAACCTACAGAAGCCAGATTTTACAAACAACGCTACCCAAGTTAAGCATAAAACCTGCATTTCAACTCAGATTTTAGTGTTCTGTTTCTCCCCCACCCCAAAATTCTAGCTTTAGTACATTGAGAGGTCTTTGATTGCTCTTAACTTATAAATACTTTAAATTGCCTTTCAGCTTTGTAACAACTGTTTGTATAGAATAATAGACTGTCTTAATCATCTAATTTTCCTTCTTATGCTATCTTATGTACCCCAGTTCATTGACTCAAGCTGGTTTTCTTGACTTCTCTGCTTGTGTTTTCCCAATTTAAGTGCTTCTACCCACGAATTATGGGGAAGCACGCTTTCCCAGTGGTACCAACACAAGTCAGAACCTTTTCTTCTAGGCAAATTGCATGGTTGTCTCAATTCTGTTTTTTTTTAGATTTCTCTTACCGTCTTCAGATCCTATAGCATTAATTCATCTGCTTCTATTACAAAAGAGCAAACCCTACATAACACAACTTGAACAAGCAACTCTTATTTCTGTGATATTTATTTTACTATTATTTTTTAAATAATGAACCTGCTTATCTCACAGTACCCAAACCTCTGGGAAAAAAAAGCATAGTATCATGTGATGAACGACATGTTCTCTGTCAATATTGCCCATCTTTTTGCTATCGTTATACTAAAATATCCCTTTAAATATTTGCTGTATGTCTTAAAATTCAGGTTCCTGGCTGTCTCTGGAACTTTAATTTTTCTTACCACTAGTTCCCAACCCTCACTGCTGTGGAGAGCAAAGAGTGGGAGGTGGAGGACTGAAGGGTAACACTTAAGTACAAAATGAAAATAATAGGTCTTTCAGGTTTTTTAACCTCATGATTTTGTGAGGCCTGACTAAACATATTTGCATTTGTGAAAGGCAGACTTTCAGTTCAGGAACAGATGCTGACTTGCAATCTTTGTTTGGTCTTGATTAAATAGTAAAATTTTTACACTGTTGCAAAGAACGTAGAGTAATGAACCCCCTGAACTTGTATTCCTTCTTTTAAAAATGAGGCAATCATGGCCTTAGACTGTCTTTAGCTCTTCATCTCTCAAGAAAGGGGAAACACAAGTAAACTGATCTTTACTCTCTATCACTACTCAGTCACATGTTAGAATCTTTTACTAGATCCTGATGGTCACCGGTTACATTTAGTTTGCAGAGGTGATACTAATACAATTACTGCTAGAACAGATTAAGCTAACATCCAAACAATGAAAACAGACAATGAATTCACCTTTGAACATCAATGTTCCAAGTGTTCTAATGTTTCATTCTAGACAAAATATATTTTACTCCAACATTTAACTTTAGTTATTTTTAGGTACTGAATAAAGAGGACTTATAGAAGATTTTTACAAACTTCAGAATTATTTTAAACTTCAGCCTGACAGAAGACTGTAGAAGACAGAAAAAGAAGTATTTTTCAAATAAATAAAGTTTAAATTTTCTTAGAGAAACATTAGCAGTATCCTGTCATTCAATTTATAGCACTGCAATCCATTTTACAAGGCGAAAAGTCAAATAAGTCTGCTTTTGCTCCCTTATTGAAATTTAAAAGGGAGAAGAGTCCGGTAGTAATAACGTCAAAAAAGGTACTGTTTTATTTCTGCTTGTAAGTATTCACAGTATATAGGACAGGGGGAAATGGCTTTAAACTGAGGGAGAGTAGGTTTAGACTAGATCTCAGGATGTTCTTTGGCATGAGGGTGTCAAGACTCTGGACTAGATTGCCTGGAGAGGCTGTGGATGCCCCCTCCCTGGAGGTGTTTAAGGCCAGGCTGGATGAGGCCTTGAGCAACCTGGTCTCACTGACAGGCGTCCCTGCCCATGGCAGTGAGGTCACATTCAATGATCTCTAGGGTCCCTTTCAGTCTAAGGCATTCTGTGATTCTGTTTCTCTGCTCAACTTTAGGTACATCATTTCTGTAAACTGCTAAGTCAAAAAATATTTTTTTATGCTACAAAGGAGTTCTAAGTTTAATAGCACTTTTCTGTCCTCATCCTAATGATACTTTTCTCTCAGTGGACAAAACCAATATATTAAGTTCCTTCATTATAGATATGCAGACTCTGCTGTTTCATTGCTCATTTCCACAAGCTATTTGCTTTGAAAAACATGGTTCTTATTCCAGAATAACATATCTTTCTAAAGATTAGTACTGCATATTTATTCCATTTTTCTTAAAGGAATTTTAGATTTCCACATAAAAATTAAAGGTTTTTTTCTGTTTTTGTTCTTTCTAGCAACCAATTTGAAGACTGTGTAAGACCTTTAATTATCAGGTAAGTTATAAGACATATGACATGAAAAGGTATTCTTACCTCATCTCTGTCCTATTGCTTGTGATGTTTGCTTAAACTGTCAATGTTAGGCTTTCAACTTATTTTTTAACAAGTGAAAAATTACACTCAGTTTTAAACATCATGAGGCAACATTACCACCCTTTTATTGGTCAGAGAACAATAACAGATGAACTCTAAGAGACAATGTGATCATTGCTTTGCAAGAGCAAAGATAACCTCCTCCTCTTACTACAGGCATCTCCTTAATAGCAAAATGCCACGATTTCATGCTTTGAAAATTTCTGCTGCTATAGAAATACTAAATGGTAGTGACAAATTCTAGGGTTTATCTACCTTCTTCTGTTCTTTTTGTTTGTTTTTAAAGCAAATGTGATGAATGCTCTTGTACTCACTCTGACATTCTATGAACTGATGAATAAAAGTGCAGTCCCCTCCACTCTTTGAAAGAAAGTTCTCTAGTAAAGAAAGAAACACTTAAGTTTACATATCCTTATTATTTTCAAATTGATGCAACAAAAAATTTGAAAGTTATTTTAGCAATATTTCTAATTGTGTATTTACAGTGAACTTTTGAAATCAGAGTTAATAGGCAAGCAGACAAGATGCAACTGAAATGTCTGAGTGATACTAGAAAATAGATTACTCTTTTGAATTGATCAGAAGTACTTCAACTGCATTTTCAAAGGGCTCTTGTAAATACGAAAATTTAATAGCAGCTCTTAAACATAACAAAAACCCCCTTACTTCAACAGAAGCTATTAAAAAACCCAAACAACCCACTCTTTATTTAACAAAATTTAGTAAGAATGAATGACTAAAAATCCAAGCATTTGGCATTTGCTGTATTGCTCTTTCAGGTTAGGTGGTGACAAGCAACTTCCACTGTATTTCCATTCACAATTGACATTTTTGGCAAAAAAATTAACACACATAAATGATACTAAAATCACAATAAATTTAGAATACATAAATGGTACACTACTGAAACATGCAACTTCTTAGCACTGATGCCTCTACTTCCTCCCATTTGTTAATTCACAGACACGGATAATTGCAGATACCAAGTCCAAGCACTGAAGAAACACAAAACATAATTAACCTATATTCTTCACCTATTTATTAGTTTTGAAAGAGGATCTAGTAAGTTTTTATTCAGTTTTCACACTTATTCTTTATACCAAATACCCTCTTGAAATGAAAAACACTTATTTTAGAAGTGTTGGTGAATATCTCCCTTTACTTTTTAAACAGTTTCACTGCACAGAAAACATTTTTCAAAGGACAGATCTACAGAAAACCTAAAACAGGGCTCTGTTCCCAGGTTTACCCAGGTCCTTCTATGTGACCATGTTCATTTCCCAACTCCTTCAGCATCTTCCACCTCTTCAAGGAAAAAGGTGCTAACACTTCCTTTTCGAAGGACCTCAAAAATCCCATGATCTCAAGAGTCTAGCAATCTGAAAAGGCTACTTTTTAGTACAAAAACCATCATGATGTGTTACATTCTAACAAAATCAATAGCTTCTGATAGCAGAAGCTGAGCTGTTAAGATCCAAGATGTAATGCTAAACTTTACTATATTTCAAAGTTACTCAAGTAAACTTTTTTCCTAACCCATAATAACAGAGCTTTTAAGACAGCACTGTCTACTATTCTGACTTCTGCCTTCAACTGTGAAGACCTTTCCTTAAGCAAAGTATCTACAACCACTTTCACTGCAAAGTTACTGTGTCTACATTATAAACCCTGAATTCTTGGCTCTTCTGAAATAATGCAAGACTTTTCTGCAAAAGAAAAACCACATTGACTGCCTCCTGTTGCTTTCAAGAGAACAACATGCAGAATCTGGAAGAGAAAATGATTGTCCATCTGTCCTTATAAGAGACCTGATAAGGACAAGAAAACACAGAGAAGCACAGACTGTCATATAAAGAGCACAGACCAGCAAGCTGTAAAATGCCAGAGAGATGTGGATGGACCAGGTGTAACAGATGCATAAGAATGTGGTACAACACAGAATAATGGAAAACGACGCTAAAATATAGAATAATCAAACAGCATGACAGGTGCATGACAGAAAAAGGTGATAGAGTGTATAAACACATAGACAATTTGCATGAGCAGTTTTATGTTGTCTGTATTCATAGAAAGAGATTGGCAGACAGCTTCCTAAAACTCACAGGTTTAAGGACAAGTTCTACTGTTACTCATAGGATAGACTATGTTCATGCATCCATTCAGATGACATTTTGACTCCTATGCAATCCAAAATAAGTCAGGTTGTTGCTTCAGCTTTTACAAAAAAGTATCAGTTATACAACTTTTTTTTATAATCACATAATAATGAGTTCAGTTTTGAAATATTTTAGACAATTTCTAAACCCTGACAGGTAAGAGGTAGCAGTATTTAAAAAAACTAACAAGACATTCCTACCAACGATTTTCAAACAAACGTGTTTGCTAAAAAACCACCATTGTGATGTTATCAATTATTGCTCCATAAAACAGTATATATTTGCACTCAAAGCTCTAAAGCTTTTACTAAACTTTTCAATGTAGCTCCAGGCTATTTTTGTTCAGATTACTTCATGTTTTTCCAATTCCCTCCAGCAACCTAACTTTCAGAGTCTTTTTATGATTTATATGATCATAATGAAGAATCACAATCCCCATGTAGTAACTCAGTTTTGTTTTTTAAAGAAGTTAACTATTTTTTTGGGTAGAAGAATAAAAAAAAAAAGTTTATTTCTAAGAGTATTACCAATCTAAAATTACACATAAACAAGATGGGTCCATCTATATAAAACCAAAATATGTCAGTCTACAGAATGGGGAAAAGACCTTAAGCCTCCTGCTTGCTAATCTCAATGTATATCACAACTAGGTGCCTAAAATGCTAAGACAGGAAGGGATACCCAGCACTTAGATTAAGGGAAGGTTTTTGCACAGTCCCTGTCCATGATTAACAGATCTCTCTTCCTGATTCAAATAAAAACTAGATGTGTGGTTATGCCATGATTGACTTCTTTTATTTCACTATTGTTTTAAAAATAAAGAGCTGCCTAACTAGGAAGAGCAAACAAAAAGGTGAAAAAGAAAGCATATTTTAAAACTTTGTTTCAAAATTGTAGACAGTAATTCTTAGACACTGAATTAGTTCAAACAATTTCTCTACATAGGTGCTCCAACTTTCACCTAATACTACCACTGTTCCTCAGAGCTTTTGCTATCCATCAGACACAGCAAATGCTGAAGAAAACTACATAAAGAAGAAATGCTGAATTAGCACAAGAGGAAAAAATCCAATGGAACAATTCAGTCAATTTACAAACATAATTGAAGCAACCTTTGCTATATATGGTATTAGGCATATTCTCACCAGACAATTTTATTCTAAGAACTTCATGTGTACATTAAGACGTACTAGTTAAAATATTTAACTTTAACTGGTCTTTAATAACAAACAAACTTCAATTATTTCAATCTGTATTCATTCCTACTTTACTAGACAAATGGTGTATGTCTGTGTTTCAAGGGAAAATAAAATTAAGATGACAAAAAGTCAGTGAGTTTTCCAGTTTGTCACAAGCCTGCCATCATTCAGTAAACTCCTACTGCTTCCACTAAGAGCCCATCAAAACCAAGCAAAATAAAACAAAAAAAAAAGACGACTTCCAAGTTGGCTCGTTACGCTTTGCAGAACTTTTTAAGAACACCTAGACTGAAAGGCTAAGCAAAAAAAGTTGTCAGAGGAGTAGACAAATTCAATTTCATTTTTTAAGAGATAATTATTCAAAGTAAAACTTCAGGTAACATTTTGAATTTCTTCAACTTCAAACATCGACCATAAGACAAAAGGTAGCCTTAAGATACACTACCTTTCTCTGTGCTCCCATTAATTTTAGGTATGAAGTCGTCAACTTGTATGCCTAGGATTAAGAAAGGGTATTATTTCTGAAGCCAAGCAAAACGTTTGGGGTTTTGTTTCTTTATAAATACAGCATTGTGAAATGCATATGGCTTTTCATATTACCTTCTCCTAAGTATCTAATCTAATCACAACAAGCAAAATTTTATGTGTTTTCCTGTACTATAGATCACATTCTCATTTGCTCAGGTTTGTAAGAGGTTATTATCATCCAAAGAATTACTGCCTATTAGACCAGTATTATTTTTTGAAAAAAAATGCCTTTTTTATATATATACATAAAAACTTTGAAAATCTTGGAGCTGAGCGGGCTCGAAGAGAGCTTTAAATTGAGCCAGGCGCAGAAGTCTGAACACTCACAACAGCAGTGCCCTCTGCTGGCTTTCTGTTGTGTCCACACGTCTTTCAATGTTAACTAGTGATACCAAGAATATACTACTGTGCATGGAATAACTGTAAGATGTCACTCTTTTGCCAGACATCTAGACTACAAGATTATTGTAATAAAAGTAACTGGACAGAAAATGAGCTTGGAAACCAGCTTGAAACAAGAAACTAATCACACCTACCTAAACTGTTGTGTTCTTTAAGAGTTTTCTCTTGAAGATGTTCTAAACGTACTGTAAACAGAAGTCCAAGAAAAAGGTATTTCACAGATTAAAAGAAAAACAAATAATCAAAGTTTCTTCCCCTCTAGTGACTAACCTTGTAAAGCCGTTAGCCGCTCATTGGTGAAATCATTATCAGCCTGCAAAGCTTCTATTTTTGCTTGAAGCTCTTGCTCTCTCTCTTCCATTTCATCTATTTTATGCTGCAATTCCTTTTTCTCAGCCAGTCCTTTCTGTTGGATTTCTTCTTGTCTTCCTTCTGCTATCTGCTCAAGCAAGATTAAATAAATCACCTAACAAATCAAAGCTAACATGTAAAGGAATAGATTTCCTTGATTTTTTGTAACTAAATGTACATAAATAACTTTGCCAATCAGATAAAGAAAATTGAAACAATACAAATTTTTTCTACTTTTATTCTTCTGCAAATTTCACTTCAAGCACAGTAGCAGAGAGGAATAATCTGAAAATATAGTAACCAACTTTTTGTCTGAGGAACCTGAATTTTACAGAAATAGTACCATGGCCCAAGAATGAAGAAACAACAGTCCCTCAGCATTTCAAATCAATCAAAACCCAAGAGTCCTTCTGAACTGAATGTACATTGCACAGACCAACTTGATTGAAAGTCATGTCTCTTTCCTTGATGGATTTCATTATAGTAAGTTTCAAAGACTTCTCCCTCAAAGCTAGGTAATAATTTTCAATTCTCATCCTTCTGTGTGCACTCATTAGTATCGCTGATTAACTCATAACTGGGAAACCAATTGCCTTAAGACGAAACTTCACATTTTAATTTGGAAAGAAAAATATTCTGTTAGAGAGGCTGAATTAGGACTGGAAGAATCTAAGTTCAAATTCCAGTATTATCCAAGAGAAATGCAACAACTGTCTCAGGTTTATGAAAAGAACACCACCACCTTCCACAACTCCAGCTTATCTCGATTGAAGATTATTTGGGAACAAGCTACAGTGATTATTTTGTCCTGCAGCATAAGTCATCTTATATAAGTCTACTTAAATCTACGTATTAATATACTTAGATGTTTAGTTTAATAAAGAAAATGACAGTACACCCTTGCCCCTGAAGCTGAGCCATATTATTACTACATGCTAGACTATTTATGTTTTTAAATGCACAGTGGCAACATGAAGTGCAAATGTATTTCTAATTTTAGTTTTCATCCCCATTAATTGTAAGATATATAGGTTAAAAGTTACTTGTCTAAATAAAATCAATACAGTTTTATACCATACATAATTTTATATTAAAATATACTGCAGCTCAAAGAATATAGTAACTTTCAAAGTGAACAAAAAGGGAACCTTTTAGCAGTTCACTTAACTGAATGACAGTTTCAAGTACATTACATGTAAAGCAAAAGAATGTTGAATTATATGCAACCTACTTTCATCAATCTTTTGTTTAAAAAGTTTCTTAACTTTTGATTACTACATTAGAAATTAAATTGTATTTATTTGTTCCATGCATTATAGTACCATAAGTCAGATGAAGTTCTGTCATTACCTTTAGCTTGTCAGAGAGATCCTTAATTTCATTTACAGCTCCATTGTACTTATTAGCCAATTCTCTTAATTCTTCCTGAGTCCGCTCATTCATTTCTTTCAGGTGAGTACATTCATCTTCTGTATTACTTAAACTCCGCTGTAAAACAAAATTATTACAGTAAATTAAAAAAAAAGAGACTCATAATCTGCCAAACACTGAAGTTGATCTATTTTTTCCAAAAAGTATATGCAACTGATGATATTTAATTGCTTTGTTCCTAATCATTAAGACTAAACAAACAGATCAAGCCCTGGCAAAAACTCTATCTAGAAACCTTTATACTGTTCCACTTAGATTATGTGAAACTCCAACCCAAAAAAAACCCACAGTAGATTATATAATTAAATGTGACTGATAGGAATAAAGACCTGAAATGCGGGATCCATCTCCCCTATTCTCTTCTGTTTCAAGCTAAACTGTGAAAAGTTTAATAATATTTTGTAATTCAACGTAATCCACAGATTTCAGCATACCTTTATTACAGAAAAAGATTTAACACATTACAAAAGCCAAATGGCTCCAAGGAAGCATTCTAAATCTTTTTCTGTACTCAACAGTGTGGAAAGGCATCTAAACTAAGACTCCCTTACTCAAGAGGCAAGGAATGATCCAGAAGATTGCATCAGCTAGGGATAGCAGCACAGCTAAATTGGGTATAGAATTTCCTCCTCACAGCTCAAGATTTGTTTCTTCAGTCATACTTTTTTTTTTTTAAACAAGCTCTGACTTATTTCTCCTTCATCACTGAAACACACTCAAACACCTTTAAACAAAAGTGCATTCAAAACCACATTACATATAAAATTACTGAAGGACAACATTCAACCAGAAGCAAATGATTCTTCTGTGTGGAGCGAAAAGTATGTGGTAGAAAGCACTCAAGCAAATCTCTTACTAAAGTTAAATTACTATTTCTTTACTTGAGTCAAAGTAAAGAGAAAAAAGTCGAACAAGTAGAAGACTTCTCCTAGTATAGAATTGGAAAAGAGAAGAAAGCTAGAAGTAAGCATAAGATTCCAACCATAAACAAACCTGTCATGAACAACTACAAAATAAAAAGATGAATCTAACTGAAATCTCCTATAGGTTATTTATTACAGCACTACATGCATTGTATCCTCCAAAAAGCACGAAAAGGGTAGATACATTGTGCACTTAAGTCTTATGATATTTCTTAACTTAAGGAAACACAGCAAATAGTTATAACAGAAAAAGAAAATAAAGTGTAGTAATAAGAGACAGTATAGGGTAGAAATCTTATTTGAACAAAGTGTCCAACGCTCTGTAATCTTAAAAGCTTTGTATGAGTGGTTAAGCTTGTCTGCATAAATTCTACTGTTTAAACAAGGTCTAACAGCATTTTTTTCATGCATATATGCCATTTTCCCCTTGCTTATTTCCCACACACAGTAACTTCCGTAAGACAGCTTTATGAATTTTAAAATCTGGCAGAAAAAAAGAATTTAAAGAATAGTTTCTCATTAACTGTTTAACAACCTAAGTATTGCCAACAGGAGAAATAAACTCTACTATTTAACACACTCCAAATGCCACAATAGAACAAATGCTGGTGTATTACAGGCAACAAAACAGGGATCTAAGGCAGCAGCAGTTATAACTGTTTCAGCGTTTCCAGAAGACTAGGCATGAAACTTCAATACCTCCACTTCAGACAGTTTTCTGACCACTTCGATTTTCTCCTGAAGGACCCGCCTCAGGGACTCTTTGGCTGTTGTCTCATAGTTGTGTTTATCTTCTTGTAATGCTATAAGCTCTTTTCGTATACTATCTTCTGTTTGATTCTGTATGTGCAAGATAATTCAGATACAAAGATAAAATACGAAACAGTGTTCTGCTGATTAAATATCTTAAGATTGTGATAAGGCTTGCTCTATTCCAAAATGTTTAGCAGTTTCTGGTAGGTAGAAAAATTAAATGGACAAACTAGTGATCAAGGATTCTTGACATTACTGGGTATAAACCAGTTATTTTTTTAAGTGTATGTATGGCAGCACACATTCAATGATCAGCTTTGATTACAGTAAAACAATGGGGGTTTTTGGAACACTGATAAGACAAGTCAAGCTTAGAGAACTGACAGTTTGACAAACCACAAACCTATGAGGTCCCATGTGAAAGACCTCAAACAGGACCTGCAAAAAGAGTTGTTATAAGGTAGGTAGTTGAGGGAAAATAAAAATAAAATAAAATTTTAAAAAAATTAAGGCAGGAAAAGGTGACCTGAACAACAATCAAGGCAGGGTATACTTGTTAGTGTGAGAATCAGACAGCACATTGATAATGCCTTTTTTCAAATCCCTATTTGGAAAGAATCACCCACAGGCAACAGGACAAAATGGCTACTTCTCAGCAATGACAAATTAATTTTCTGCATTTCACTACAGAACTATTGATATGCATAAATATTTTTATCAGTTTGGGCTAAAATGCTGCAAAATAGCTACTTAACTAGATTTAAAGTGATTCCATCAAATACAGAACAGATCTTCAGTTTTCATGCTATTCAGATTATTAAAATTGCACAGGCTCCTTTTGGGAAGTGTATGTTCCAATTGCTTTCCTACAACCAGCTAATTTCAAAACACTTCAAAAGAGCTTCCAGTACTCCCAGCATTCAGCTTGAAGTGAACTACTTACCTTGGAACATGCCTGCAACTGATTTCCCATAACCTCTAATCTTGACAGCAGCCTGTCTTCATCTATTAAAGCCTAGCAGAAAAGAAGTATCACTTTAGTAGTAGCATGTTTTATGTAGTTCTAGTACAGTTCTGCTTTAAAGACTTAAATTTCACAGAATACTAGTAGTTATTTTAAATCGGTATGTGATCATTAAATTTATTAAATGTTATCTTTTGCACAGTTAAAGAGAAATGCCATAAGCTTAAAGAGAACTGCCATAAGCTTTTTACTCTTCTTGCTGCATCCCCTACTGCCACTATTTGTAAATTAATAGCTAAAATTTATATGCCACTGCATATTTCAGTCCATAAAGGAGAAGGATTCCTGCAGATACCTGCCAACTAGTATCTGAAGCCTCTTGTGTGACAGCAAGCAGTCGCTGAAGGGTTGCCAGCTTCTGTTCCAACATTTGTTCCCTATGTAAGGCTTCCTATGAAGAGAGCAGAGCACCAGTCAGTTCAGCTAGAACAACTCAGAAAAAAAAAACAGAAACAAAAGAGATACCAAAGAAAAAAAAGGAAGTGGGAGTAGCAAACAGTGTAACATATTCCAAACTATAATAAGCCCATCCCATTTTATATATCCACATGTTTGTTGGATATTTTAATTACAAAATGTTATGCTATAACCTTAGGTTCTTAAAAAGCTCAATTTTTCATGCATATGTTGCACATGCTGAGTATACATTGTAACAACTTATTCTCTCCTAGACTTAAAAATACTTGAGGCTTTTGTCAGTAATTTGAGTTTTACTGCAAACAGCAAAAGGCAGCTTGGCAGCTCCCATGCAAAGCGCTGTTCATCCTTCAATCATGGCACAAAAGAAAAATGCCAAGCAAGAAGTACTATTTTTGTCTGATGACAGTAAGATAGAAAAGCATCTTCATTAACAGTTCCAAGATACAGAGAGTGAACAGATTGGTGAGCAAGTATGGATTTGGCTTCCCAAGAAGGGGCATCTGCCTGAGCTGCTTCCTGCTATGTCAGTAAATACATACAAAGTTAGTATCTGTCTCAAAAGCCTCATCATTGATGTAAACAAATAATAACTGCCACTACCAAACAAAACCAGGCAAATTAAATCAGTGGAACTACAGATAATTAAACCCAGATAGAATTTTTCAGTAAGAATGTTTTCATATCTTTTCCAGTAAAGCTGATTTTACAATGCTTTCTGAAGAGTTTATTTATGTATATCAGCACACACTTCAATGTGTGTTTTGCAGTCTAACCCTTTTGTGACAGGACATCTTAGGAAAAAAACACACATATTAAAACAGACACAGGAACGGTTACAGAAAAGCTGGTGATGCCAATGAGCAAAAAGAGCTGCCAGGACTGTCCCCTCCTTCCTACTTTCCAATAAATATAGGGACAGAAATATCTACACTATGAAATTATATTCACAAACAGACTAGTTCTTGACATATGAAATTACATCCTGTTTTGCCTTTCTTTTGTTCTACAAAAACTTTTATACATGTACACAGTGCAGCGATGGATGACAACAATAATATTGTGAGCAAAAGAGCATTCAGGCCAGTGAGGCAGGAGAGGAGAAAGGCCAGGAAAAGCAGGTACACAGCATTCAGGGAGCTTTCTACAAAACAGGGAGCTTTCTACAAAACAGGGAGCTTTCTACAAAACAGGGAGCTTTCATGCTTCTTTTAAAAAAAAAAAAGTCATAGTTTATACTGCTCATGTAAAACACCAAAAGTTTATACAGAAATATACTATGTCCAATTACATGTTTTGCATTATTTCACTGCAGAAAAGGTAGTTAAATGCTTATGTTCCAGTGACAAAATGCAAGTCAAAGATGTACAGAGCACAAGATTTGTGTTTTGAACAAAGATGAAGCGTGGTAGCGGGTTAACCCTGTCTGAACAAGCCACTCTATCATACTCCCCCTTCCCTTTCCCTCCTCCGCAGAGCCAAAAGGGGAAAGGAAGATAACATGAAGACAAAACTCCTTGTGGGTGAAAACAAAGGCAGTTTAATTAGAAAGCAAAGCCAAGCAGTGCCTCGTGTGAAAGCGAAGAGAGAAAAAAAACCAAGATTTGTTCTCTACTTCCCATCACCAGGCGATGTCTGGCCCCTTCCTGGGAAGCAGGGGTCCAAAATTGACATGTGGTCAGTTTGGGTCAGCTGTTCTGGTTATGTTCCCCAAAAGCTCCCGCCTCCTCTCATCCCACTCAGAGTGGAATGTTAGAAAGAGCCTTGGTGCTGTGTGAGCACTGCTCAGTGGTAGTCACAACATGCGTATTATCAACAACCTTCTAACTCCCAACCAAAAAGCACTGGACCATGAAGGCTGCAAAGGGAAAATCAGCTCAGCCAGACCTGATAAATGTGTCCAGCCAAACTAAATGCTGTCAAGAGAAAACCCACCTGTAGATACTGTGAAAGCTGAAACAGTTCCTGAGAATACATGCTGGGAGTGTTAGCAGCAACCTGAAAAATAAGAGATTTTAAGAATCAAAATGTTTGGATTTTTCATTAAACTCAAATAATGTGAAATGCATAATTTAAATCTATTTATAAAGGTAAGATTATCTAACACTGGCATTTTCAATCACTTATTGTTCTACTACTATTTATTCTTTGTTTAATCATAGAACCTCCCAACTCTGGACTGAGGCCTCACTGTGTTTCTCTTTGCAAGGTCTTGAACCAACACACCAAGCAGCTAAAGGCTTTTGTTTCAGTTGAGATTAAACTGACAAAAAAGAAACAACATGTACAAAGGTGAAGCCATTCAACCCAAGGACAAACAGAAATAGGGACTTGCATAAATGAAAAACAGTCTCTCATTCCAATTCAACATCACCACACACATTTCATACACAAGTTTCCTTTTGATCTATTAGCCATCACCTTCTCATTCCCCTTCACAGATATCTATTTCAGATCTGGGGAATATCTACCTTATACTTAATCATAACTGAAACGGTTCTGGACTTGGGGGAAGGGATGAACTGTTTTATGAGGCTTTTTTGGGCAAATTTACTAATTCTTGTAGGCTCTTCTTATGCTGACATAATTTGGAAGCTGCTCTTTGCACAGTTATACCTGCAGTCACTCCTCAGAACTTCTGCCCTCGCACTGGATTCAAGCTACATATGCTGTTTTGAAACCTCAATTTAAATGCAGAGTCTATGAACTCCATGGGCTGCTGACTACATGAAGTGGTTTCCCAAAACTTTATTCCTCATGTTTAAAACTCTGATTCAAACCTATTTAAGTCAATCCTCCTTTTAAGGAGCTAAAGAGGCGATCAGTTCTCTGAAGGCCCCCGTGTGACCAAAATTGAGTTTAAAAATTACACTAGACAGGATGGACTCTGTAACTCTACAGAGAGCAATTCTGCCTATACAAGAGGAGCAGAGGGGTCTGGTCTCAGTCTTCCTTTGGAACACTGGAAGAGAGCACTTTCCAGATTGTGCAGTGCAGCTTCTCCTTCACAAAAAAACAAGATATAAGGACAACAGACCCAAACCAAACACCAAATCATGACCTGTTATAGGGTCCCACAGAACAGATCAAATAATATCACATTATACAATGCCCAAGTCCTGACAGACAGTCAACCTGTACCTGGAAACAAAGCCATGCTGCAGGTGACATACTGTTAGAAGTCAAGCTACCTTAAAATACACACTGCAATACTGTATTGGCTTCTTTACCTTAAATGCCATGCAAAACATTAAACAAGGTAAGAACAGGAAGTGAAAAACATATGTCAATGTAACTGGATGTCACCATTTCTTTACCTCTAAAAAACAGAAAACAGCATGTGGCTGATTAAAGTACAAAACAGCTTTATTGAATTACCTTGTCAACAGGGCTTGGTAATGGAGCATGGATAACACTAAAAAACAATTTAAAAAGAAGTGAATACAAAGTGCAGAGTAGGAGTTCAAAAATCCAGAAAATCCCTAGCACTGTGCAATTAATCAAGATGCTTTGTATTTTAAATTTATGCTTCAAATAAAAATGAAGAGTTAATGCACAAACATACAAAACCAGTTAATGCTCTACTAAGCCATGTTTTCAAAGTTACAAAACTATTTTCAAATTATAAATTCAAGGTCTATTCTAAAAACACTCTTTACCAACTTTTATTGCAGTGGCTACATAATACTTGGTTTAAATCTTAATAAATAGATTTTGAAAGAATCAAAAGCACAAAAAATAGATATGAAAGAAAGAACAGTGGGTATGCTACTCCCCTTTACAAATTCAACAAACTGAGTAAAATAATCACAGAATGTTAGGGGTTGGAAGGGACCTCCAGGGATCATTGAGTCCAACCCCCTGCCAGAGCAGGGCCATCTAGTCTAGGGCAGGTCACACAGGAACGCATCCAGATGCGTCTTAAAAGTTTCCAAGGGAGGAGACTCCACAACCTCCCTGGGGAGCCTGTTCCAGTGCTCTGGAACCCTTACAGTAAAGAAGTTCTTCCTCATGATGAGGTGGAACTTCTTGTGCTCCAGCTTCTAATATTTGGTAACCTACAGAAATTTATACGCTTTCACTAGAGCAAATGTTATACTTGGACATTTTCATCAGAACTAAAAATTTAACACCATACATTTCTACTGCTTCCTATTAGGACATGCAATTATATGGGAAAATTCCCATAATTTATCTTGACTTATCTTCCCAGAAGCAAAGAGACCCTAAAGCTTCATGCAGATATTTCTGGATACTAATGGTAAAAAAAAAAAAAAAATAAAATATGCAATCAAAACGATACAATTGCTGACTTATATCATTAATAATTTGCACTCAGTTACTGCAAAGGAGATGTTTACATCTTTTGTTTCTAATCCTATTTGAAATTTCCTCCAAAATATAAACACAGAGAAAACCCTCTCAATATTCATCAGAGTTTTCAAATGTTATTTCATCCAATGTATTTTATGGGTCTTTTTTTTCTCCTCTTGCCATGTAAAGTTTTCTTTCATTATGACACCAAATAACTGTACCACAAGGACAGATCACTGCATTAGTTATCGGAAGAACAAAAACAGTGTTCTGTGGACACACACAGAAACACCATTAACTTCACTTCAGTAGAGTCTGTGCATTTAAAGGAACAAAAATAATAATCCCAAACAAAAAGAAGGAAGGAGAATTGGTTTAATTGCTTTCTTTTTTCCTCTATTCTTCTATTTATAATACTCACACCAGAACACTAGCACAGCCAGTCAGAAAAGCCCAATTTGATAAGAACTTTTTTTATTCTTTTACAGAACTTTTTTAATTCTTTCATTGTTTCTGTAATTTCTAAAGGTGACAAGCAAATGAGATATCTTTTTCATAATGCCTGCAAAAGAACCATACTCTCAGTTATTTTTTTTTGATGCTCACAGGAAAATAAACTGTTCCTATGCTGATTTTAAACATAATATTCATCAAATCCTCATTATAGAGTAGTTTAATTTTGCTAAGTGTGAATAAATACTTATTCTTACTCTGATCGCAATCGAGCTTCCATTCCATCTGGAAGAAACAGTTTGATTGTGGAGACTATACATCCATGGGTAACTGAAAAGAAACAAATACTAAGTCATCATGGTTTGTTACTATTCAATTCTAAGTTCAGTTGTTAATGTTATAGTAAGCAAGTGAACTGTCATAAGAAACTGAGGCAGGGAAATGAGAAGAGGCATGAACCTCTTGAAGCACCAGTGCCTGGCTCTGCCTTTTTGAACCTCCTCTGGAAACAGAAAACTACCATCACAAACTCAAGGGTCATGCTGTGTATTTAGTCCTGGCTGTGAAGCACTTCCAGTTCCAATTCTTCAGTATCTGCAAGTTCTCTTCACTGCAGCAAGTTAAAAAAAGTTAAATGCATGTTTTGATCATAAAAACGAGGGGAAAGGAAAACATCTTACCTGCACTAGGTCATGCTAACGCAAACATATAAACAAAGCAATGAGCTATGTGTTAACAAGGTTCCTATGTGCACATCTGGGGACTTAAAAGGTAACAACACATCCAATCTGTGTAACCAGACACTCACTTCAGCATCTAGAATTTGCCAAGTGGCTGTTATGTAGAAATATAAGGATCAAAAATGGAATGCAGAGGAAGAGTCTAAGAACCACTGAGAATTACATCCTCTTGAATTCTAGGAGCAGCATCATTCAAGACAACACATCTCTATTTTGCTATGCTTTAGTACACTTCTGATGCAGAGCCCTAGACAAGTGGCCCCTCATTCCAGGAGGGGAAAGCTTGCCTCTCCACAACTAAATTCAAGTTTCTTTGAACTCAAGGAAAATACTAATGACTAAGAGGAGGAAATAGAGTACAATTCTCACATCAAGTTCAACCACTCTTTACAATGTTTCCCAAAAATGTTACTGATAACTTTTTTCAATGACATTGCAGCAGTCAAATCACATCTTTTTGTTCATGTTAAGGTGTTTGGGTTTTTTCCCCCCCTTATATGGTTCCCTGAATTGGGAAGTAAAACTTTGTTCCAGTTACATGGAATGAAAAATAGATGTTGTTCCCAAAATACTGCTAAGCTAGATATGAGTAAGTACATAGTTATCTATCACCTACCACCATACCTAAAGCTCCCACCAACACGAAAAGACAAAGAGCTGCTCTACTTTCATGGTTATTAATATCAGCAAAACGGTTAATCTAGCTTTGAAAAAAAAGGGCAAGGGGTGTTTCAGGACATCAGTAGCACTCCAGGGAAATGAGACAGGTCTTTGAAAGAGCTACCTCAATAGAATCTAAAAATACAGGAGAAGTGATCCAACTAAACAGAGTTGTTCATAACCTTTATTGAGTGCTAAAAACTAATACTTCAGAAAAGCATCCTCTTGGCTACAGCACCTTGTTGTTTCAAGCTGAGCTGGTCAATTATTAAATTTACAAGCCAGGGTAAAATAACCAGGACCTCATTCTCAAAACAGATTAATCCATGGGGTTTAGGGTCTTTTTTGGCTTTAGACTTACGTCCCCAAAAACACAAATCTGTTCTTGCAAAAACAAACCAAAAACCACATCAGCAATATTAGCTGTAGCATGTAATACTCACACAGCTTTCACAATGAGGAATCTTTCCTTTAAGGCATAAAGAGGAAATTAATGACTTCAAGAAGAAAGCACTAAGATATCTGAAATTAAAGATGAACAGGTATCTGAAATTAAAGACCAACAGAAAGCTTTACCCTCTGGTCATATATCAGGTAGGTCTGCTGTAAGATTACATAAATTTGAAGTTCTTCCATCAACATACAGACTAGGGGGAAAAAAAAAAAAAAAAAAAAATCTATCTCCTAAAAGCTGCAAAAGCTTCAAATTAAAAAAAAGAAAAAAAGAAAAATTGAGGGATATAAGGAATTTAGAAGATAGTGTCAAATAAACCGTGACTGTGAAAAGCCATCAAGCACTTTGATACATTCACTAAAAAGAAACATACAACCCCCCCTAAACAACACAATGAAATCCACACACACTCTGTCCTTTAGCGATCAGCCGATTGTAATTGGAAGAATAAAGAGAAAGTCCAAGAGAAAGGTAAAGCAACACAAAACGTTATTATAGTGATGACGGGACAGGATAATAGCTTAAACTCAACTCTGTATTATTCCTTTCGGGGGATTCAAAAAAAAAAAAAAAAAA